CGAACTATCAGCGTTTTAACGCATAGCGCAAACCGCCATGTTTGCCCCCTCCCCCCACCTTATCGATTACTTTTGAAATAGGCGACATACGTAATTTTGATCACCACAGTCCATATTACAATAATCAGCAATAACATTGCGTACTACTTTCATGCATGCTCAAACCCCCTCAGCTCCTGGACTAATTGTGCAATTAGTTATCTGTAGATTTAATTTGATAAAAATGTAAAACTTTGACGTTCCTGTTTACAAATTAAATACTCACAAACTTCTAGTCTTCCTTAGAAATACGTAGATTCTGTGAAGCTTGATAATATAAGCTCAACACGATATACTTACCTAAGTATTATCTTCCTACTTTTCTCACGTTGTCCCTGGGATTTACATTGATTGTTTCGATCATTCCAATAGAGTTTCAGTCTACTATAGTTGATATTATTATAAGTACTTACGTACTAACCCAGTACAGTTGTTACAGTACTGCTTTACCATAGGTTTCCACATAAATGAGACGTCTCTCGCTGATCTTAGGTTTTGTCGGTTGAAACTGCGTCTGACCTAACAAACATTTTGTTTACCAAGTCTTTTGTGGAATACTCGGACTTCTATACCGCTCCAAGTAGACTATTGAAAAAATAATGTTAAATCAATTTTAAGTTTAAAGTATCCATGGGAACGATAATAATTCTGAAAGAAGCAAATAACTATGGCAAGTACGTAATTCTGTATGTCCACGTAAGACTGTAGGAGATTTAGGCAAGTCCTGGTCCTGTTACAGACAAATAGAGTAATTTCAGCTATTACTGATTTCAAAACCATCACATCTTGATGAAAGTTGATTCAAACGTGTAAACCTACGTATATTTGAAAGAGTTCGCGAACCAGCGGGATCGGACCATGGGGACGAGGTTTTATGGGGGGAGGAGGTGTTTACCGGAGTTTAAATAGTTTCCCCTTTTTCCTCTTAAAACATAAACTTTTGTAATTTCCCCCAAAACTGTTTTACAGAGCTTAAAAAACAAATATTTGCTTTTTATGTTTTTGGGTTAAAATTTGAAAACACCTTTAACCTCAAACAAACCCCCTAAAGCCCTCTTCCCATAGTCAGACCATGCTGGTTCGCGAAGTCATTCGAAATTCAAATCAACGTAATATTAGTTTGTACGTTTATACCAAATTTCAATAAAATGTAATGGTTTTTACCTGAGTATCGTACTAAACGGACACAAATTTATAAACATATGGTGTTTTTGTCCTCTAGGGTAAAAAGTGGTTCCCGGTCTAAGAGAATTCACTAAAACTCGTCTTCATTGAAAATCATAATTACCTGTACCGTTTGCTGTAATTAATATCCACTGATAAGAGCGCTCTGATGAAACATTGTTCTGGTAACGCATAGAGAATGCCTTCTAGCGGGTGATCTGATACTTAGTGTGCTGTTAACGTTATATGTTATGCAAACAAACAAAACATTCGATATTATGACGGGTTTAAATCATTTAATAGATATTAGACAGTAATGTAAATCCATTCGATTATAGTGTTTTCAAAATACAGTTCTAAAATTACAGTGGGACTTTGTTAGCAATAACACCCTCTATAAAAAGTAGCCCTAAATAACCCTACATAAGTGTCATTTCCAAATACCCTTTGATGTTATATTTCCATTAATTACATGTTTTTGAAAACCTCAATAAAAGTCAACCTCAATAAAAGTCAACCTCGATAACAAGTCAATCATCTACATGAGACTTGCTATCGAGGTGCTATTGTAATATTCATGCCTGAATAAATCTCAAAATATGGTATAAGTTCTCAAACTGAAACTTAAAACATGATCCATACAAATGTAGCCTACTGATTAATAGTGTTTGTACAATCTCAATAAATCGTTTACACTTACCTGAATCCTGAATCACATTGCTTCAGCTACGCGCTCACAGGTCCTCTGACATAGTAGGGAAGTTTCAGTAGATTTTTTTCATTTGTTATTAATGGCTCTAAATAACGTATGGAAAAGCAGTACCTTTTTCATCACGCAGTACCATCCTATTCAGGTTTATAATATTAATAGTTTTGTTAAACTAGAAACAGTCAACTATTGAAACTAATTGAATTATTTTAAAGATTCCATGGTAACTAAAATAAAACTAATTTAGATAACTAAGACAATAGGATACAACAGAAAGTGAAAGACTTTTACTTTACATTATTCACACAAAAATATTTTTGGACCAGATAAAACCTAGATTCGACATAATGTGTTTATCCATGATATTTTACTGTCACATTATAATAAGATCAAGGAGTAGAGGCTTTCCCAAACTACGTGTTTAATATTGTTTGAGAGATTACTGTGGAAATGTCCTATCATAATTAATAAAAAGGTTCACTGGACGTTTGTGATCTAATCGGATCCCGTCCTATCGTGTGGAAGTTCATAAAGCAAAAAATATATAAACTTAGCCAAAGCTGAAAACTCACTGGACATTTTCTCCTCTTGTCTACGTCGGTGGCACTTGTAAAGTTAAGAGAGTAGGCTAAACACTTTTTTTTGGAAAGCGGTCCAACCCTTATGACTTGTGGAGGTGTCGGGAATTGAACCCGTGTCTTTTGTTTACTTTTATTTGTTGTTTCTTGTTTTACTACTGTCAATTTATCTGAGTGGGTTTCTGTTATGATTTTCCAGTTTGACTAAGGCTGTGTAAATAATATTCAATATTCTTGTTGTGGTAGGTACTATTTCACCTGAGTACGCAAATTAGATTCCAGATCCCAAAACGTGAACTTTTTTACTAATCGTAATGGAAAATGTGCGTAAAGTCACAATCACCAAAAAGTGTAGTGTATATGTAAAAAAACTGATGAAAAATCGTCTTGTCTTACAAGTGACGTAATTTTGTTTATCCACGTAAGCCCATTGGAGGAGGAGCTTAACCACATTAGACCAATGGACACTAAGTGCTCTTCGCTACAGTGGGTGTAAAACATTATTGTCTCTTCGCTGCTTTTCTTTATTTATACACCTGTTAGTGTTCTTGGCGTAATTGGATAAGTAAGGACACAGGCTTTCTTTGTCGCTTATCTCAACTCTAGACATTTTTGTAAACGTTTGAAAATAAATCAACCCTGAGATTTTGTGTGTGTTTTCTATCCCAATGGCATATTTTACGTTTGAAAGGGAACGTTTTGGTTTCTGGGTCTGGAAACAAGTTGTAGATGCTGCATTACTATAAACATATTTGTTCAAAAGGTACATAACCGGATGCACTTAAACACAAATATGAGTGAAAGATGGATATAGAGAGGGTTGAGATGTCTGTGTAAATGTTTGCTGAAGGGTTGTTACCATTCAAACACATTACGCCAAGGTTGAATTGACATAAACCTTTTTTCTGTTTTAATCGTAGGCTTATTTCCTAGGGTCTTTTGCAGAAGATCACTGCACTAAATACAACCCAATAAAACACACGTTGTAAATTTGTCCCCTACAAAAAATAGTTGAAATTTGTGATATCTCTGTAAAATCCGTAAACAAGAGAGAACTTGTTATAACAAGAGAGTATTTGTTATAATACAGTAATATAGTTTAGTTAATAGGTTTTTAAACAACAAAACGCCCATTCATAATTCAATCTGATGGAAATAACTTTAAATTTAACTTAATTTAATCCTTGAGATGAGTCCATAATAATTTATAATTTGATGACTGTACTCTGCGTATTTAGTGTTAAAATATGATCTCTGGACTGAGTGTATTCCTTGTTTTAGTGTACATGACTGTAGATACTGTTCATTGTTCTAGTTATTTAAAACAGTTCTAGTTATTTATAGTGTATATTATAGTGTTGTTTATAGTGTAAATTAATAGTTTATATTTATAGCTTTATACATATAGAGTGTAGTGTTTCCCTCTTGCTTTTAGTTTTATCTATGACTGTACTGAGTTGCTTTTGACCTTTATTATAGTTTGTAGTTCAACCGAATGTATTCGTTGTGTCTTTGATGCAGTTTCATTGTTGCATTTTTTTTCTACGACTGTACCATCGACCGCAGAATTAAATGTAATTAATTAATTTAATTTATTTAGTTCTGTGGCCGCTGGACTGTACTGAGTGATGAGTTTCATTGCTTGCAGTTTTATCTACGACTGTACTGAGTGACGAGTTTCATTGTTGCATTTTTATCTACGACTGTACTGAGTGATGAGTTTCATTGTTGCAGTTTTATCTACGACTGCACTAAATGTTGATTTTCATTGTTGCATTTTTATCTACGACTGTACTGAGTGACGAGTTTCATTGTTGCATTTTTATCTACGACTGTACTGAGTGACGATTTTCATTGTTGCATTTTTATCTACGACTGTACTGAGTGACGATTTTCATTGTTGCATTTTTATCTACGACTGTACTGAGTGTTGAGTTTCATTGTTGCAGTTTTATCTACGACTGTACTGAGTGATGCGTTTCATTGTTGCATTTTTATCTACGACTGTACTGAGTGTTGAGTTTCATTGTTGCAGTTTTTATCTACGACTGTACTGAGTGTTGAGTTTCATTGTTGCAGTTTTTATCTACGACTGTACTGAGTGATGAGTTTCATTGTTGCATTTATATCTACGACTGTACTGAGAGTTGAGTTTCATTGTTGCAGTTTTTATCTACGACTGTACTGAGTGTAGCATTTTATTGTTGCATTTTTATCTACGACTGTACTGAGTGTTGAGTTTCATTGTTGCAGTTTTTATCTACGACTGTACTGAGTGATGAGTTTCATTGTTGCATTTTTATCTACGACTGTACTGAGTGTTGAGTTTCATTGTTGCAGTTTTTATCTACGACTGTACTGAGTGTAGCATTTTATTGTTGCATTTTTATCTACGACTGTACTGAGTGTTGCGTTTCATTGTTGCAGTTTTATCTACGACTGTACTGAGTGTTGCGTTTCATTGTTGCAGTTTTATCTACAGTACTGAGTGTTGCGTTTCATTGTTGCAGGCTCGCAGGAGGGGTGTCACATCGCGGTGGAGGGGGCAAGCGGCCCCCTCCCCTCCCTTATCACGCGGCGGCAACGCTCAGTCGTCGGCGAGCCGCTGTTCATGCAGCTTCGGGGAGTGTCGCAGCCGCTAACATGAAACTACGCGAGCGGCTAGTGATCGGCGCGAGTATCAGCATCGTGCTGTTCACACTAGCGCTAGTCGTAGACCTACAACTGGACTTGGGGATGAGTGGACAGCACCTGGCTCCATCGCACGGCAGGATCAAGTAAGTAGTTTTTTTTTATTTTACTACAATTTTGCTGAAAGATTATTCAGAAACTTAAAAGTTAAAGAAGTGTGTGGGACTTAAAACGCTTGATTTGGTGTCGGTATTAAGTTAGACAACAAAATTGCATTGGGAAATTGTGTATATTATTTAGATTTTTTCCGCGCCGATACAGCAGGGTGCGTATTTTAAAGCAGTGAACGGCGATAAGGGTTGAATGGATGAATTTGTTGCTGACTAAGATCTGCGTTTTTTAAGACACAATTATAATTTTAAAGTACGACAGCTGAGCCCAGTTTTGGACCGTAACAAGTATTAGATTTTTCTCAGAATCGAACCGGTTACCTTCTGACTATTACTAGGCGGGTACTATCAAAAAGCAAGGGGTTGCAGGACTTAAGTTTAAACCCAGAACGTGGATTAAAAGTTGGCTGAACATTAAGGGAGGGAGTTAAATAGGTAAGGACTTACAAAAGCACGTATCTGATGTTTGAAAATTTGTTTACAATCGAGCGATGGTATACTTTGAATATGTTCGTGTGGCGATTCTTTGAATGACATGTTGGTGATGTAAAATATTAGCAACTTTCTAGGGACACGTTATTCAGGTAATATGACATTGTGCTTAATAGGGCTTTACACTAGGGTTAACAAGTTAAGTGTACGTTACTTGAGTTCCCAACAGCTAGATTAACATTGATTACAAGTTTGGATTTGGATTTTAGATAACTTGAGTAACAACCAATGACAAATACAAGGGTACTACTGTTATAAACCTCGTTTTGCGCTGCTAAGTTTCCGTAGCTGGTTCAGCGTATTTACAGTTAAGACACGAGAAAAGGGATTATTTACAGATAACAACCAGGGAAAATACACATACATTACTGTTGTTAGTTTTGTTATACAATTGATAAGTTAAAACTATTTTACACCAATAGAGGTGCACGTTGTAGTAGAAACGCAATATGTCTGGAAAGTTTTTAATTTTCTTTTAAGTCCGTAAAAAAATAATTAAAAAATAATCTTGTCACTCAGACGTGCTAGATACTTGACATCTGGCAGGATAACTGGACCGAGGTACTAAAACCCCATGTATTAAAGGAATTTGGAATTTTTTAATATGTAACCCCTTCAACAAAACCCCCTTCGCTTAGTGTGCAGGTTTGCTGCGGTGGTGTATTTTACTTTGATTCGCACTTGAGATTCTGCATCCCGATTCCTGAAGTTCTGTTATTGGTGTTGGTGTAGGTGTCATGTTAGCTTGTGCAGTTGTGTCGTTAACAAACAGAAATTAGTCTGTAAACTAAAACCCACCTCATGGTTAATGTCGATTGAGGCAAATAAGAATAACACATCGCGACCAAACCGCTTAGTTACGTAAAATAATTTACCGCAAAGTAAAATAAATTTTTAAAATAGATAAATTCGACGAGATGCAGAATGTACACATTTTCTGATAATATATAAAGTAGATTAGAATTTAAGAAAATACGAGTTTTCAATCAAGCAAAACCTATACAAAACTTAATTTGAAACCTCGTGTGTATTAGGGACTTTGGGAAAGGATATTCCTAAATAATGTGAAACTGTTGATTCAAGTTCGGTATTGATAATTTTTTCCTCATGAAAGTATTGTAGTGTAGTATTTATAAATTTGCCCCATATTTTTCCAGCTGCGTTTTTAACAGTCCCCGGATAAGTTATAGTGGTCGTAAAAAGCGTTGTTGCCTTACACCTCAGTTGAGTAGGACTAAAAATATTGCCCTTGAAATGCTAGATCTAGTAGGCTGGTAGTATTGTTATGGATAAAACAAAACATATGATTAATTGTTGTATGGCGTATCTATTGACACTAGCCTAATCAATACAATGTCGTGGTGCAAGTATTTCAAGTCAGTAAAATGCAAATGAATGTAAAATAAATGACAAATATGTATTGTATATTGTGATAGTTTGATAGTTTTTGTAGTGTATTGTGCTAGTTTTGTTCAGAAATGTAAATAACATGTTACTTTTACTACAACAAAATGACAGTACTTTGTTCGTGTTTTCCAACAATTTATATGGTTTCAAAAACTATATTGTTCATAACAAGTACTTTTTAACCCGTATCAGGTGTTTCTATACCTTTTGCTTAGTCTATGTATGAAATGTCTAGCCATATTAAAGTACATACCTATATCGTTCATTTGAAAAAAAAAATGTCACATTGAGAGCTTAAAAGGTCGAAAAAAGATCTTGTATCAATTAATGACCTAACTCTGCGTTTATTTAGTTGTTACCTGCAAATTTACTGCAACCAGTTCATTAAAATGGAATTTTTTAAATTTGAAATGTATAACAATACAGAAAATTTGTCCTGCATGTAAATATGTTTAACACACAGACTCATTTATACAACTCACGAAGAAATGTAATCGTAACAATATAACACTAAGAATAAATTGTGGTTCAAATTGGTCAGGATAGGAAACGGAGAAGAATAAAGATATTTCAGAACACGACCTGCAAAAAGCTTTTACATTGATCGGGACCGATCGAGCAAATCTTACAATTCAAGGTCTTTCTCTGGACACTCAATATGGGGAATTTCTTCAACTGGAATATTTCCAGCATAACATTGAATAATGTAACTTAACATTTAACAACTTAACTTATAAATTACATAAATTATTTTACGGCATGAATTCTATTCTGTTGGGTTTTATTTTACAGCGCATGTAAGCAAATAAATATCTTCGTTCGTATATTTGTGATATTGAAAACCTTTTGTATGGTTCGCATCTAAAGGTGTACATCTATTTAAAGCACAGTGTATTTGTATTTTGTAAATATATGTACCTGGCGCGGCCGACATAATAGTGTAAATAGAACGTAAAAAATGCTTATCTAGTTTCTAAATTTGTCAACTGTATTATATTATTCAGTTTAACTGTATTATATTAAAATTGTATATACTGTGTCTTAGTAATTATTTAGCAAGCAGAAATAGATAAAACGCCTAACCAAGGAAAGTTATAACTTATTTATTTTAATTGAAGAAAATACTAGTTATTCTATCTGTATGTAACCATATTTTCACAAACATCAGAATCTGTACAGAAGGATTGGTACTAAAAGTGATTGAGAAAAGCCACATAAAAATAGTGTTGTCACTAACCAGTAGGAAAAATAGTTGAGATGTTTTAAAAATATATCCTATGATGATATATATGTATGATATATAAAGATACATAACATTGTTATACGAACGCCACCAAAATGTTTATTTTGTAATTAAGTCTCACAAGAAAGCGTCGTACCTATTGTATTTGAAACGAAATATTCTGAGCCATCAGAATGTATACTTACGATTCATAACTCAAATTTCACTTAGTAGCAAAACTGAGGAAGTCAAGTTGTTTACTTGAATCATGTTTCGCGTCAATGTGAAACCTGTGAAGCGAATGATTAGATCAGCACATTCAGAATGTTTTTGTTGATAAATGCTTAATTTTGTGTTTTAACTGTTTGTGTATAGTTTTAGTACAATGTAAATGTGTATAAACACTATTAGAATCAAGTTACTCTTATATTGTGGTTAGAGCTCGGGCATGCTGTTTTGAAATTCCAGGTTCGAATCCCGTCAGTCACCAATGTTTTTCTTTGTGATAATATTATTTGCCTGGTGGATCGGAGCATACCCTAAGTTTTTGGTCCGCATCTAGAAGACACATAAGAATAGGGTTCTGAAGTAAGGGAATTGTATTCTGTATTTGAGACTCCCACCCACCTTAAACCGTAGATAACCAATAACCTTCTTAATTAAATAAATACAGTTTAAACAGACAATTGAAAAATGATACGTTTTATAAGTTACATGGTGTTTATAAAAAAAAATTTACCACTTCAAACAACAGTAAACCTTTTATTTTTACACTTAAAGCTTTGAATTAACAAAGACTCTGAAATCGTCTCAAATTTTGGTCATAACAAATAGTTTGCCGAACTTCAATGTGTTTTCCATTATTTGCACGCAGTTCTAAATTTCCAGTTTGGACCAAACACGAACCAAAATAAGACAATTTTATTTCAGCAAAATTTGAAGTTTTTAAGCACGGAATTTATGTAATTTGGGGATTTTGTGTGTGGTAGAGAATTTTGTGTTCAATTCACGTACCGCACACACAATATCTCATGGACTTTTTTGGACTGTTCACAAATGTTTGTTGAACATCCACATCGCGGACACGGGATCAACCGTTCCCTTTCTTGTGATGTTAACTGCCGGTGTTCATAAACTTATAGTATCAAGCCCTAATTGCAGGTCTTGAAGGAGGATTCCTAGGGTATCTTGGGCAAAATCTCCGTTGAACAACGACATGAGAGTTGGGTAAACACTCCACAAACTGCGCTTTAATACAAGCTTCCATTACGAATCTAACGAGACTCATAAATTATTTGTTATGGTTTGCCAAGCAACAATATAAACCAATCAACTGATAATCTGCTACTAATGAAAACTTCTTAAGCTACTCTTTAATGTTCAGTTTTTATAAAACCTTTATGTTACATGTTACATGGAAAAATGATGGGAAGTTGGCAAATTTGTAAGGCTTTTTTATAAACACCCTGTATAATTCCAAAAATAATAATAGCCAATTACAGATTGTGGATGTATAGTTGGGTACCTCATTTTTATTGTTGAGGAACCATTACGATCTATAAGAACTACTATTAACGACTATTAAGGTACTAGAAATACAGTATATTACCTCAATAATGATTAATTCATGCTTTCTATACAGCCACTTAATTTTAGAGTAGTCATGACTGGATATATTTATGATGTACTTTTCTTGCCTGCATTTGAAAAGAGACATACAAATAGAGGATGTACTCAGGCTTGACAAATTAATAATAATACATTTTATTATTGAATAAAGTATACAGTGAAATGATTTTATCTGGTAAAATTCTTGCTCTACACATGATACTAGAATGAAATTTAATGCAATTTTAATTGGTTTCATTGAGTATAGTTTGTAATCCACAGTACAAATTTTCCAATTTTGCTGCATCGGCTTTTCTTTCATATATCATTTTGGTCTTTATAAAGCAATTCGTGTTCAAACAAATCCAACCTTGTAATAAAATTCGTCTTGTCAGTAGAAGAAACAAAAAGTAAGCAGCTTAAAGTGATGAATTAATATTTCCAACTGCTCCCAGCTTTGTTCTAAGTACACAAGAAGCGTTTTATGTAGTTTTAACCCTCCCAATGTAAACTAATTTTTTTCTCTCGTAAGGATTTTTAAACGTATTAAATCCTTCACACACTGTGTTAGGTAGATCCACTGGCAGATTTATCCTTTCCTTTAAATCATTTAAAACTCTTGATTATTCATTATTTAGATCTTGATCAAGGAACTATATTTATCGATAATCTCCTTACTCATTAACCGTAAGATTTTCTCCAGCCGATACAAATGATGATAAATCTAAGAGTATATTTTTTAATCATTGACTTTTGTTAGTGCAAGTAGACTTCTCATCCTATTGTAACATTTTAGTACGATTTTGACGTGTGTTTTGTTGGTAATGTGTCGACTAAATGTTTCTAATTTTAGGGTAGATTTTACAATAAATGTTTACTTATACCAGATTGACATGGTTCCCTATTGTATACAATTAGATCGCTTTATTTGGTTTAAATGGTTTAAAAACATTGTAAAAAAGACTAGAAAATAATAAACCAATTAATGGTTTACATAAAACAGGATACAAATCTCGAAGAGAGAATGATTGGAAGGAATAAAATTGAGTGATAAGATTTTGTCTACCTTTGCTACTTAGATAAGTAACTAAGTACGATCATCTGTTTCTTTAGAAATACTCATCTAACAAAATACTCAATTAGACCTGTGCAAGTCTCGACCCATAAAAAGCTACCTACTGACTTTTACATGATTGAACCGGCGACTCTTATACTGTTTCAAGTTAGACGTTTTTGTTTTACATTGAATTTATCCGTACAATTATAATGTAAACATCTACTTTGTTATGCCCTTGTTATCACGTTGCTAATGTGATTAGAATATCTGGCCGTAAGCCAGACATGTGGTGAACTGTTGAACTGCCACGCGTTTCAAGCTAGTCACTATTTTATCTTTGATGAGTGCGAATTTTAAGTGTCAATTCAACAAGTTATAGTCTTTAATTTTTTTTAAGTGTGTTTCACAAGTTGTAATTTTTCTCATTGTTCAGTTTCAACTTTTTTGGTAGTTCTGCGTTCACAGATCTGTTGTTACAAAAAATTATCCCTTATATTAAAAGCTATTAATGATTAATAATGTATTCAAAATTCGTTCTTTTTGTGTCGAAAAAAAAAACTGTTCAGCTACGTCCCTTGTTTCGTTTTTATTTTGATCCTATTGTAATACTTATATGCCTCATCACTTCCAAAACATAAAACATATACTTGGAGTTAATATTCTCCGATTTAGGGATGTGGTTTCCATTTTTTTTACCGGTGCAGTGGATGCAATTTAGCGCCTTCAAGCTACCTCTTGAGCATTAGTCTCTCCGTATCGGCTTACGGACGATTTATTTATCCAGGATAGAAGTGGTTTGTCCAGGAGACGATTTATTCCTCCAGTTTAAAAATGGTTTAACCAAGATAAGATTTATTATTCCAGTTTATAAATGAATTGTCCAAAAGACAAGTATTCATCCAGTTTGGGAATGGTTTGTCCAAGAGACGATTTATTCATCCAGTTTAGAAATGGTTTATCCAAGAGACGATTTATCCATCCAGTTTGGGAATGGTTTGTCCAAGAGACGATTTATTCATCCAGTTTAGAAATGGTTTATCCAAGAGACGATTTAATCATCCAGTTTGGGAATGGTTTGTCCAAGAGACGATTTATTCATCCAGTTTAGAAATGGTTTGTCCAAGTCGCGATCTATTCTTCCAGTTTAGAAATTGTTTATCCAAAAGACGATTTATTCATCCAGTTTAGAAATGGTTTGTCCAAGAGACGATCTATTCATCCAGTTTGGGAATGGTTTATCCAAGAGATGATTTACTCATCCAATTTATTAATTTTTTTCCAAGAGTAGATTTATTCACTCAGTTTATAAATGATTTATCCTGGACTAATGGTTTATCCAAGAGACGATCTATTCATCCAGTTTGGAAATGGTTTATCCAAAAGACGATTTATTCATCCAGTTTAGAAATGGTTTGTCCAAGAGACGATCTATTCATCCAGTTTAGAAATGGTTTATCCAAAAGACGATTTATTCATCCAGTTTGGAAATGGTTTGTCCAAGAGTAGATTTATTCACTCAGTTTATAAATGATTTATCCTGGACTAATGGTTTATCCAAGAGACGATTTATTCACCCAGTTTATAAATGATTTTTCCATGACTTATGGTTTATACAAGAGACGATTTATTCACCCAGTTTATAAATAATTTTTCCAGGACTAATGGTTTATACAAGAGACGATTTATTCACCCAGTCAATAAATGATTTTTCCTGGACTAATGGTTTATCCAAGAGACGATTTATTCACCCAGTTTGGAAATGGTTTGTCCAAGAGTAGATTTATTCACTCAGTTTATAAATGATTTATCCTGGACTAATGGTTTATCCAAGAGACGATTTATTCACCCAGTTTATAAATGATTTTTCCATGACTAATGGTTTATACAAGAGACGATTTATTCACCCAGTTTATAAATGATTTTTCCAGGACTAATGGTTTATACAAGAGACGATTTATTCACCCAGTCTATAAACGATTTTTCCTGGACTAATGGTTTATCCAAGAGACGATTTATTCACCCAGTTTATAAATGTCTTGTCCAGGAGAGGATTTTTTCATCAAGTTAAGGAATGGTTTATCCAGGAGACGATTTATTCATTCAGAATAACATTTGCTTCTCTGCGGAAGACGATTCCCGTTTTCTAGAATCAAATGAATTTATAGATTCGCGGTTTTAGTTCCTCAGCACAATAATTATTCGTCTTGAGTGCAGCACAGCAGCAGACTCAGCATTGGGATGATTGATTCCCTAGAGGAGCGATGAAAAAGTGAAATAAGACACTACTGTAAATCCAACTTCTTGCTTTTATTGTTTTCAGTAAATGATTTATTAATCATTTTCATACATAACGTGAGTATACGTATCGAATAAAAAGCACGTTTAAAATGGATTTGTTGTTCTATCGTCAATGGACAACAAAATTATAGTTAAAGTAATATGCACGATAACTCAGGTAAAGATAATCTGGTTTCGTTGAAATTTGGTACTTAGCCTTTAAAATGTATTTAAGGAATTATTTTAATGGGAATCGAATCAGGCGAACGAAAATTCGCTAATTCTGCAGGTTTGCTCGTGTTGAGCCATCTCGTCCAAATTCTCCGAACGTAGGGTGGTTAGTTAATCCAGTACTGCCATCTAGTGCTATCTTGTCCAAAAACCCATATATTGTTCACCTGACAGGTCTACAAATTACTATAGAAATTTTGATATTATTAAAAAGGGTTTATCTTAAAACACAAACCAATTCTGGCAATTTAAAAAGCAGTGTTCCGGCCTTGGTTAGTTATCTGCCTATTTACTTATCCTTTAAAATTATGTACAATACAATATTTACATACTTTATAAAATTACATTAATTATAATGTACAATATAGCCGCAATTACTTTGTGATCTTGTTATCTTCTTTTTTCCACAATTTAGTCCATATTGATTGCATAAGAGACATTTATGAAAACATTTTCAATGTCTCCTTCAACGCATAGGCGCATAACCGCATGCACCCTTCTAGCTATGTAATTTCTGTGGAACTACAGGATGGAGACTGCCTGCTTTATGTGCCTTAATCCTTACCCCATGTCAAGTAAAAATTGGACGAAATATCACCAATTATCGTGCGTAATCACGTTTAATCAACTGTTACGCTGGACGAGATAGCACTCCTTTCTGGGAAATCGGGGTGTTGGACGAGATAGCACTGGACGAGATGGCACTACATCGGTTTTCTGTGGCAGGGGTGTTTATTTGACTCACGTATGTCGTCACGTGATCGTGACTTTTCAGTTTGTGATAAGCCACTCGCGCTGTTCTAAGACTTCCTTTTCTACTTATATCCGTACACAATTCACCCCACTAAAATCTCCTTTTTCGCAGGTACGGTGGTGCGCCCGCTCCTCAGTACGCGGCGATCAAGGTGGAGCCCCCGGACCCGGTGAAGGGGTCGCTAGACACCACGGAGGATGTGAAGGTCCTGGAACCCCACGACTCCTTCGGCGATCTCCAGGCGGCGCTGGCGGGCAAGGACAGCGGGGCCCAGGAGGTGATCGGGAGGACGGAGAAGGGATGGGTTGAGAGGATGAACAAACACACGTTCAAGGAGGTCTACCGACTAGAGGAGAGGTGAGTCTACACAAATATTAGATTCGGATTTATCTAATATAATCTAAGTGTTCTTGATTATTGAAGTAATACATGAACTAATCGTAAACGGCGTTTACACTTAGCCAGTAGGCAGGTTACCTGTCCCAGGTAACTTGAAAATTGTAAGGCATTTACTTAAGAAAACTTAATTTAATTTCAACTAAACTTTCCATTTTTTTCTATATATTTTTTTATTTATTAACAATATGTACACTGGTAGCAAAGTTTGCCACCTAACCACCTATGCCCGATCTGAACTCGTGGAAATGATTTTAGGGTAAAATGGATACCCATAAATAAGGTTGGAAGCCTTTTCGCCGATTTTTTTTTAAGTTTTGATATGCATTTCTTTTTCTTTTTGGGTTCAGATATACTTATGATTAAACTGTCCCAATTCCATCCATCCATCTAGAGATCATATTAATGTAAACTGTTTGTTTGTAAACATCCTTTCTAGATTATTTTTTATTAAGCATTTAATAAACATTATCCCACGTTCCTGTAAACAACAAAAGTATCATTGAGCTAATACTATTCAATGGGTGAGGATCTAAGTGTAAAATTTTTGTTCATAAAACTACTTTACTGAACTTGTAGAAAGCTATGTATTGAACTATTTTCTTTTAAACTATCTAAAACTTGTTAGATAAAATTGACGTAAAATGTGGGGAGTTTCACGGTTTGTGCATCAACAGATATATATGTTTCACGAACGTATTGTCTTCCAATGTTGTTATCAATAGCCTACATTAACAAGTCATTACTACTGGTTGTCATAATATATTATGTTACTGGTGTCTAATTCGGTCGTTATAAATACTGTATATCTCAACAATATGAAGACAAATTTACTAACAGTGAATGTTTTTTATTTTTTATTTTAGAACTTTTGTAAAGTTTTAGCAATATTTGAAATTTTAGAAATATACTTCATAGACTTTCCTATACCGGTACATACTTTAATGCGACTATTGAAATCCTCCGTAATCACCCACGAGTAATTACAATCTACACTTTTTAAACAATATTTTCTGAGTACAGTACTGTATTTAGAAAACAAGGCACTAAGCTAAATTCATCTTATTAAAAATTCTGTTGTTTAGGCAAAATGCTGTTATTTAGGCTCTAAGCGAAATTCTCAACAAATGTAGAATAACCTCGAAAACATACGCAGCAAAAATACAGTATTTGTAAATTATTGATAATCTGTGATCGAATTATAAATCAAAGAGGCATTGAGAACGATAACTTTTAACTACTCAAAAAGTAAAAACCCTTAAAAAATCACAAGAATCTCGTTGAAACCGAAATTGAAGCAATTTGCCGACGGCCAGCGAAAGTAAGTGTCCCTAGTTTATCCGGGTGCCAATTTTGAATTACGTAACACCCCCCCCCCCTCTACCCCTCGATGGGTAATTTTCCCAGTCGTCCTAGTGGATCCGTCGTACGTCGACGCTTTTCCGATTGTGCAACGTCGAATAGATGGACCGGAACATTCCGGGTTGACACGGGCTATAGCGGACTTGGGGGCCGAGCTTTGCTCGAATCAATGATCTATCCGTTCATGCTCGACGACGATATCTTTTAATTAGATTGTAAACAATTGCTTAATTCGATTTTTTTTAATATATGCCCAATAAGTTGATTATTTCGTTGATGGGGTTTTGGAATCAGATATACGTAATGGTATCTAAATAAGTACTAAATCGATTTAAATTTTGAAAGATTTTATAAAACAACAGTGACAATTTTTGAAACGAGAAACAATGTTGACGCACGCGGCTCACGGAGTAAGACAATTTTATTGAGTTTTAAAAAGACACTTTGAACACGAGTTGTACATTATTTTGTCTACTTTCCAGCTACAGTTCTTTTTATGACATGTAAAACAATATTATGTGCTTATGTACTTACAATATTTAGGTTAGGATATTTGTGGCTGAATTGCATAATTGTTAACATGACGGGATAAACAATGGCATTGCTTAGCTAAAAATACTTTTCATTTACTTACTGGTAATAATCTAAAAAAATTAACAACTTCTTAGATTTTCAAAAGAATTCGGGTATTTGATTAAAATCATAATTAATAATATTTAATTGTAATAATCAATTTTTATTGAGTGTTATTTAACTAAAATAAACTTGGAGAACATTTTGTTTCTTTCAGTTGTCATTTAGAGTGAAGTAAAATATTGGCAAAGTTGAAGTTTTACTTTGTCCACTGATTTTCCTTACTCTGGATACAACTGAACAAACAACATTGCAAAAAGAGAGGAAAGTAAAATAAGAAATTTGCAGTTTTGCAAACTAGTTTTGGTGAATAAATTTCCACTATGTATGACAAATTTTATACACCAGTCATGTTTCGATTAATGCACATGCTTTGCAAATGATAACAATTTGTACAACAGTACACCAGTTAGACATTAACTTGTATATTATTTTTGCAACTCGCTTACTCTATTTCCAGTGCCACGTGCTTAGCTGTTTACAAACAAAAGAACTGTTTAACTGTTTTCTCCCGTCTGTTTAAACCTCGGGGGTAAACATTTTAAGGGAATGCCCTTTGAACGGACGATTCTCTCGTCGTTTTCCGTCTTAGCGGAATGCTCTGTGTTCTTTTACTTGGCAAATATGGTTTTCAATACCAGTAGTTCGGTGCAGTATTTCAATGCTAATTAATTATTCAGTTATTGAGTAAAAAGTGTTAGGAATCAAATATTTCAATTCTCCATCGTACAAACTGTAATAACCTGTTTACAAGGAAACTTCGGTCAAGTGTAATTTAAATTAAGGGATATGTGATATTTTTGTTAAACTAACATTATCGGTAGCTCAAATGTCTATACGGCTTACATAATAAATGTCTTGTAATAAATGTCTACAACTTATTGACAGGCCCCTTAATTCTAAAAATGGACAATACTCATAATTGAGTGTAAATAAATACAAAAATATCAGGAAAACTAACTTTCAAAGTAGACTTTTAGCTGTGGGTTTACATTAATTGTAAGAAAGCACCGTAACTTGCTATTAGTTGTATTTTTTTACAAATCTTTATTTTCAAACCAACCGAAACATGGAATTATGTAGAAAATTATTTTAGTTGTTATTTATTTTCAGGCCCGAAACTATGGAAGTATGCTTTATTTATGCTTACGACAATGTTGGTGCATTTAAAGTCCACAACAGAGTTTTAAATTTATCTACGAACAATCATGGCGTCTTTTTGGAGTTCTAAAGTCTTTTGGAGTTCTAAAGATATTTTCTTCAAAATGTGACAAATTTGCTAGGAGTAAGTTTAGTCTATTCTTGCGATGATGCTACGAGTACCACTCGCAGTTCAATATACAGACTGTCCTAAAAGTCCCGGACCGGTTTAATATTTTCTAAACGACAACAGATAAATCAATAAGATTTTTGCACATCAACACCACACTTAAAAATCTACTTTTTTCAGGAACTATCAATGTTCTGTCATATCATGGGGACGTCACACGAGGAGTCAGAAGGAAATCTTAAATAGGAGCATAGGTCAATATGCACATCAGTTTAAAGGGCTTAGCTAGCAGAGTTCAATGCCGAAAACCGCGAATCGAAAGGATCACCCGTTACAAAATGGCGGCCGTTCAAAGATTTCTTGAACCTGCCATTTTGAATCTTTGAACGACTGCCATTTTTTACTCAGGCGTTCTTTTGAGCTTGAATTTACGGCATTATCATCTACTAGTGAAGACCTTTAATTTGATGTGTATATCGACCTATGCTTAAGAAAAAAATTTTTTCCGATTCCTAGGGCTGTGCCCCCAAATGCAAATTAAATGAATCATTGAACCACTGTCATTCTTGACTTGGTTGTCCGTTTGAGTTCAAATTTGAAGCATTATATTCTGCTAGTAAAGACCTTTAATTTGATGTACATGTCAACCTATGCTTCTATTTAAGATTTCCTTCTGACTCTTTGCGGGACGTCCCCATGTTGTGACAGAAAATTTATATTTCCATCAAAAAGTAGATTTTTAGGTGTGGTGTTGATGTACCAAATCTTATTGATTTATCTGTTGTCGTTTAGAAAATATTAAACCGGTCCGGGACTTTTGGGACAGTCTGTATGTAGAGTATTGCATCCTGATACAGTTTTAAGGAATTGTCCTTCTTACTTCTTTAGAATGATTCTTCAGCAAAATACCTCATACCGCTCATACCTATGAAAGAGTGTGTTAAATCTATGCTTATAATAATGTAGATGCATTTAAAGTCCAAATTAAATGGAGTGTAAAATCGTAGTGGCGTTTTAAATCCCCTATGACCTAGACATCCAGACCATAAATTTCAATGAGTTAATATTGAATATATGCTTACGACGATGTTTTGAGGCTAGTCCAACAATTTTAAACCCTACGATACGAATGGCTGATCATTTGTCACACAATTAGCCCAAACGTTGCTGGTCTGTAATAGCTTGTTATCTCAATGGACCTATCTTAATCACCAAACTGATAACGACAACAAGCTAGACTTGTCAAGAGTTTCTACCACAACTTCCTACTTAAAGCTATGTGGATTGTTTGGACGCATCATTGACTTTGGATGTCGAATTTAGTCGTATTTGGAAAATTTGTAGGTAGTTTTTGACTTGAATTGAACATAGTCAAAAGTCATATATAATTTTTTATGTAAATGTTGCACAATAATTACGTTATATAAATACTTATAGTATAAAATAAATACATTTGCCAAATTTGTTCTAAATATATCCATAAGCAAGCAAACTACAAAAGTATTTATTATCCATAAGAACAAACACGGGAATCTAACACTGTTTACCTACAAACTTACAACATTCAAATAACGAATACTTCCAGTGAATAACGGGCTTGAATAAAATATAAATCATCGAAAAAAAAATCTAAACTCAGAATATAATGATTACTTTTTATCAAGGGGTAATGCACGTATTGAAAACATTCGTTTTT